CTAGAGAAGAACAATATGTTTGGTGTGTGGTCAGCAAAAAAGACAATGACTTTTGATGAGTTCTGGTGTGGCGCTGTAGGTTGGTTTGAACCATAAAGTCAGTGGTTCAAACTCACCAGTCACTCCTCAGAAACCCTATACAAGGTCACTATTAGTCAGAATCGACTCAATGGCACATAACAATTCAATGAGATGGATTGACACAGTGGCAGCAATAATGGGCTCAAATATCACAACAATTGTGAGGATGGTGCAGGACCTGGCGGTATTTTGTTCTGTTGTGTCAAGAGTAAATATGAGTTAGAACTGACTGGGCAGAACATAACAACAACAAAATTTGGGAGGAAGTAGATCTCTAGGACTTTCTTTAAAGGTGCCTCTGGGTAGGCTTAAAGTACAACTTCAGTCTTTTGGATTGCAGCCAAGCACATTAACCATTTGCACTATACACATAGCCTATACTCACCAACGCTATCGAGTCCATTCCGATTCACAACAACCCTATACAGAGTTTCCAAGGTTGTACATCTTTACGGGAGCAGACAGTCTCATCTTTCTCCCTCAGAGTGGCTGGTAGGTTTGAATGGACAAACTTGTGGTTAGCAATCCAGTACTTATTCTACAGTGTCACTGTGGTGCCTGCCTGGCATATAATTGTTGTTCAGGGCTGTCGAGTCTGTTCCAACTCATAGCGACCCTGTAGAGGGTTTCTGAGCAGCAACTGGTGAGTTTGAATGGCCAACTTTGCAATTCAAACTGACCTTGTGGTCCAGTGCATTATCCTACAGAGCCACACCAGGACTCATGGCATATAATTGTTGTTAAATGCCATTGAGTTGGTCCCTATTCATAGGAACCCTACATAGAGTTTCTGAGGAGTAGCATATAATAGGTCTTAATAACTAAAGTTAAATGATTAAAAAACTCTCTCTTGGCTTTCAGGCCATAGATAGATATTTCTTGATTTTTTCTTGAATAGTTTTCAGGCATCTTCCAATAAAGAAAAGAGCTCCTTTACCTCAGTCTACACATTTAATATTCTTCAGAGTAGCTCCTTCTTAACTCTTTTTGGGTTACAGACATCATTAAATATCCTGCCTTCAAATGCATATTTTCTGTCTTAATCTTTTCACCTGAGCTCCAGACCTCTGTTTCTAAGATGCCCATGGGACCTCTCTCGCTAAATGCTCAGCCGGCAGCTCAAAGAGTCATTTTCTCTTTTATTCCCAACATGCTCTCCTTCTGCCTTTGGAATGCACATCATCTAGTGGTCCAAGCCACACACTTTTTTCTTTCGTTCCCAACCCGCTCTCCTCCTACTCAGTGGAATTCACATCCATCTCGTGGTCCAAGCCACACACATCAAAATCCACTTAGCTTTTCCCCAGTGCTTTGTCCCTTTGTCTCGCTAGGCAACAAACTTCATTCACTACCAAACCTTCCCCACAGATTCTAAATCTTTCCTTTGGGTTTTTACTCTTCCTGTTTCTTCCACCTAGAACACCTTCCCTCCTCACTTTGTCCCAAATCCTATTCATTCACTGGGGTTCAACACACAGGTTGACTTCAATCCATTGCTTCCTCCTCTTATTTCTAGACAAATTGCTCCTTCTCTAAATGCTCATAGATAGCATCCCGAACATAGCTTAATGTTGCTGCTGTTGTTAAGTGGTGTAGGATCAGTTCTGACTCATAGCGACCCTGTATAGGGTTTCCAAGGAGCAGTTGGTGGGTTTGAGCTGCCGATCTTGTAGCTTGCAGTCTAGTACTGATCCAACAGTTTTTTTAGTGATTGATTTACATTTGTCTCCCTCACTACATTACCAGATTCTTGAAGACAGGTATTGTTTCTGAATCATTGGACCTAGCACAGTGACTGACATTTTAAGCACTTAAAATATATTTTTATATGAATGAAATGGGTATACTGGGAAAATGAATATCTCTTCATTTTCAGAGATTACTGTGAAAGAATTTTTTAATTAAAAGAACAGGACCAGTTTTAAAACAGGTATATTACAGAAGTAAGTCAACATCCAGAGAAACCTGTGAAAGCAGAAATTACATGGGACTACCTTGTTTTTCTGGTCTTGCATGTTTTTCACCTTTGACATGGTGCAGTCTTTTTCTTTTTCTTCTATTGTCTTTTTTATTATTATTGTGAACTGAGTGATAGTTTACATGGGAGAACATTGGCTGATAGGGTGCAGTCTTACAACTCTTCTGTTGTTCTCAATTACTGGGAAAGATTTGAGTTTTCTTACTCTGACTCAAGCCATGGTATTTTCAATAACCTCACATGCATGCAAAAGCTGGACAGTGAATAAGGAAGACCGTAGAAAAATTGATGCCTTTGAGTTATGATGTTGGAAGAGAATATTGAAAGCACCATGGTCTGCCAAATCTGTATTGGAAGACGTGCAGCTAGAGTGCTCCTTGGGGGCCAGGATGGCCAAATTTTGTCTCTCATACTTCGGACATATTGTCAGGAGGGACTAGTTGCTGGAGAAGGTTATCATGTTTGGTAAGGAAGACCCCCAGTGAGATGGATTGGCAAAGTGACAGCATCAATGGGCTCAAGCATGGCAACAATTGTGAGGTTGGCCCAGGACCAGGCAGTGTTTCATTCTGTTGTGCTTAGGGTCTCTATGAGTCGGTACCGACTCGATAGCACCTAACAACAACAGCTCTGATTGGCTTCCGTCTTACACATGTTCCAGCTTTTGTAGGTTTTACTGTATATTGTAACTGCATATACTTATAGATGATAAAACTTTGCTTGATGAAAGCGAAGAGGACCTAAAATACTTACTGATGAAGATCAAAGACCACAACCTTTGGTATGGGTTACACCTCATTGTAAAGAAAATAAAAATCCTCACCACTGGACCAGTGAGTAACATCAAGATAAATAGAGAAAAGATTGAAGTTGTCTGAGACAACAACACTCATAGAAGCAGCTATCAAGAAATCAAATGACAGATTGTATTAGGCAAATTTGCTGTACGAGACATCTTTAAAGTGTTCAAGAGCAAAGATGTCACTTTGAGGACTGAAATGCACCGGACCCAAGCCATGGCATATTCAATAATTCCATATGCATGTGACAGTTGGACAACGAATAAAGAAGACCTAGAAGAAGTGATGCATTTGAGTTCTGGTGATGGAGAACATTAAAGGTACCATGGACCACCAAGAGAACAAATCAATCGTGTTGGAAGAAGTACAACTAGAATGCTTATCAGAAGCCAGGATGGCCAGATTTTGTCTCTCTTATTTCGGATACAGTATCAGGAGGGACCAGCCTACAGAGGACATCATACTTGGTAAAGTGGAGGGTCAGCAGAAAAAGGAAGGACCCCCCCGCCCAATGAGATGAATTTGCACAGTGGCAGCAGCAATGGGCTCAAGTGTAGCAGCAATTGTGAGGTTGGCAAGAACCTGGTAGCATTTTGCTCTGCTGTACATTAGGTCGCTAAGAGTCGGTACTGGTTCGATAGCACTAAACAACATACTTGCCTATGCTGTTGCTTGCTGCTGCGTGCCATCGATTCGATTCATGGCTGTAAATCTTTATGGGAACATCTCATCTTTTCTCCACTGAATGGCTGGTGGATTCAAACTGCTGACCTTCCGCGATCCACTCTTGTTACTGTTGTTTGGGCGTCATGTCTCTCTGGTTAAGTGCCGTCGAGTCGGTTCCGAGACCATAGGGACCCTGTGTAGGGTTTTCGAGGAGTAACTGGTGAGTTTGAACTGCCGACCTTGCAGATCAAACCGATTTGGCAGGCCAAAGAACAAACCCACAGTGCTACACCAGTTTCCCAGTCTTGTTATTAGAGGGCTCCTTATACTTGACTATGTTGTTGTTTTTAAGTGCCATGGAAAGCAGGTAATTGTTACTAGAATTTTTTTTAAGCTGTCCTGCAGATTTTGATTTTTAGACTTTCTGTATGAACAACACAAATTTTTAAAAGAAGGCATTATTTTAACCCCTTTTGTACTCTTTATCTTGGGTGGGAGGGATTAGATAAAGTATTAACTAAACTTTCGTATTTGAGTGCTACAATAGAGCGTGGGCACTTGATCGATCCCAAACACCTTTTAATCGTTTTCCTCACTCCACCCTCATTATAAATTTGAAGTATATAGGAAACCCTATGCAGGGCTGCGAACCTTAAGGTCAGCGGTTCGAAACTACCAGCCGCTCCGCGGGAGAAAGATGAGGCTTTCTACTCCCGTAAAGATT